GCACACCTGTTGGGTGTAAGGGTGTCTTTCATTATCAGCCAGAAGTCTCCAAGACCCAAAGCGAAGGTCATCTTGTAATGCTGTGTGTGTGTGCATTGTTAGTATTAGCTAGGGACTTCTGTTACTGCTATGGGTCCCTATGCTGGGGTGGCTGTTGTTTACTGAGTTCTGACTGTGTGTCAGCCACAGCACTATGAGCTGTGACAGCTGTAATCCTCACAGTCACTGGAGGAAATAGAGACGGGGATTCTTTTGATCTCTAAGTGGGTGTGTTGGGGGAGGGGAGTCCGTGGGAGGGAAGGCCAGACTGTGGATCATGACAGATGCAGCAAGGGTGCCTGAAAGCTTGGCAATCTCATTCTTCCCAAAGCTTTCTGCAGGATGGAATGAAATGGAACAGAGAACCTACCCAGCTCATCTTTGTTGGGAAGGCTGTGGGGATCATAGACAGACACTGGCCAGTTTGTCTTAATTATTCCAGTTCTCCTAATGGAAGCTGACTGTATTCTAGAAGTTAATCAACAAGAAGTTCCTTTCTTGGGTTCAGTTTCCTGGGTAGGAAACAGGAGAAAGCGCCTTGGTCAGTTTGCAGAACTCTGGTCCTGGAGCGCACCCATGTGGCCAAATTAGGTAAAAAGTCGCTTGAATGACAGTGTCTCCCAAGAGCTCATTTCAAAGGCAACAGTTGCCAGATGTGCAGCTGGGCCATTTTGTCAAGAAGCACCCATTTGGAAATCTGTAACAAACCCATACAAGGTTCCTGCCGATTGGCTCTTAAGAAAATGTAATGAGGCAGTTAAATTCAGTAGGTGTGTGTGTGTGTTTGTGTGTGTGTGTGTGACAATGTGTGTGTTTGTGTGTGTGACAACACAGCTGTAAGTTAGATAATGTTTAGGGAGGCTGTGTGAGATCCTGTCACACAGCAGGGACCGCTATCCTTATTCCAGTTAAATCACGGGGTTCGCTTCTGCCAAGCAAATTAGAGGCTCCAGGGTACAGAGGAACCAGGGGTAGCTTCATTGGTGGCGCTGGGAAGGCCAAAGAAGTCCAAATTCCCAGGAAGCAATCCCTAGCCCTGGCCCATGTCTCTGCCTTCAGCAAAAATCCCAATAATCAATGTTTGGAAGTTTGCTGTCACCTTGCTTTCCTCTTCTTGCTAACGGGCATTTTCAGGGGACCACACTGCTCCATTTGGGACAGAGCGAACACTGCAAACTGCTTAAAGGGTTCCAAAGAGGACATGCCCAGGGTGGCTACAGCGAGCCCTGCCGGTGCCCGTCCCTAATCTGGGGGTTTGCACTGTGGGAAAGTGGGTAATGTGCCCTTTCCCCTTCCCCAGGCAGGCCGGGCGGGGAAGGATTTTCTCTCCCATGTGTGTTAACTATGGTGCCGCTGCCCGCTCCACCCCCACAAGGCTGGGAATGGAACACAAGGCTTCATCTGTGCTGGGCCAGTGCTGTACCACTGAGCTGCACCCCAAGCTCTGAGTTTATTGCCTTAGGCCGAAGACTAGCTTGGGGCTCTGGGATGGAAGCGACCACACCTGCAGGTCCTGGACGAAGAGACCCAGCCTTCCTCTGCATCTATGATGGGGATCCAGAGGGCACATTCTGGACTTTGTAAATTTAATGAGACCTCCACTGCCCTACTGATTGCATGATGCTGGGGGTGCGGGAGGGAGGGGAGAAGGAGAGGAGGAGGAGGAGGGAGAGAGAGAGAGAGAGAGAGAGAGAGAGAGAGAGAGAGAGAGAGAGAGAGAGAGAGCGCTATGTTCAAAGAGCTACAAACAAAAACAGTTCCCTCTCTGGCTTTCTCTTTTCCTTCCTATTTTTGGCAGCTCCTTAGGTTTGTGGCTCATTCCCCGAGAGGACGAGTCTAGGCGTGGCCTCCGGCTCCTGGAGACAACTGCTCCTTTGAGTGAATTCTTTTATGGGTATCAGTCAAAAAGTTTCTGTCTGCAGAAACAGGAAGGCATTGCTGAGATTGTGCATGTTCGCGAGCGCGTGTGTATGTGCATGTGCGTGCGTGAGCATGTGTGTGTGTATGTGTGAGCATGTGAGCATGTGTGTGTATGTGTGAGCATGTGTGTGTGTGTGTACACTTGAACACACAGTGGTGGACACTTCATCTCACTAACTCCATTCTTGGAAAAGCCACGTCTTCTTGGCAAGGGAGAGGAGACACTTCCCTGTGCACCTACAAATAAATCAGTAAATCATTAAATGACTCATCATGACAAACCCAGCACCTTTGTCCCCTCTCCTCCCAAACTTCTTAACTTTGTTTTCTTTCGGGGAGAGTATTCTGGAATGTTTTGCTGCCTGCAGGCTTGCTTCCCATCCACTTGCCAGAGCTTGGTTTGGCTCTGTGGGGTCGAGTGTGTAACTTCTTTCTGTGACATCTGTGGGGGCCTGCTCTTTCTCACACTACTGTAGCATGAGGTGTGACAGTTAGTGTCTGCTGTGGATTCATCAGAAACTGGGATTACAACCGAAAGCACACAACTTCCACACAAAACTACAGCTGGGTTTGGGGTCCTGGGGGTTAGTAAATCGTTGTTCTAGTTTATGGCTTAAATTTCCTAACCTTCATAAAAACAAAAGCAAAACCACAATTGCATTTCAGAGCCCCCTCGTCGTGGGACTGGGAGGGACAAGGCATAAAGGCCAGGGAGGGGCTTTGCAGAGCTTTGCCACAGAGAGCCGCTCCCCCACCCGACCTGTGTTCGGTTTCCAGGAAGTGGGAGGGTGCTATTGCCTGGTGGTTTGAGTCACTCTTCACTGCTTCTGGACCTCCCTATCCTGCCTGGAAACATTTCTCCTCTGAGCCCAAAGCGCTGGTGCCCTGTACGGTGACACTGGCCAAGCAAGAGACTGTCACCTTCCTCTGCTGGCGGGCAGACAAAGGAACAGACAGCTGGCTGGTTTCATTGATGGCCTCCTGGAGGGTCTGGGTGGTGTGGCCACTGGACCCTCTCTTCCAGCTTTCCCAAGGTGTTTTTAGCTCCCACCCCTAAACCCCCACGCACCCTGTCAAGAACCAGACAGGGATTTCTAACTCAGGTAAGGAGGAGCCAGGAAGCAAATGTAGCTTACAGGAAACCACTTCTGGTCTGTGTTTGAAACCCAGAATCCAGTCAGTCTGTCCGCAGCCCACGGGCCACCTGCCATTCCTCCCTCCACATCTGGGCATTTACAGATGTGGCTCTTCCGACACATCTATCCATGTCCTAGTCTGCCTTAGCATGGCCTTCCTGCTCTCATCCGTGGCAGCACAGGATATTCTAAGTTAATATCTGACCGCTACGAGATAGCTCTCATGTGCAGTGGGTTTGTGTGAACCAGCGTGTAGGCATGTAGGTGGGTGTGAGTATGTGTCAGTGTGAGTGTGTGTGCACGTGCACACACGCGCGTGTAAAACTTGTCTGGCTCCAGGAATCAATATATTCTAAAGGGACACTTAGGATCCCTTTTGACTATCAGACTATTGAAACAAATTAAAATTTCCTCAGGGGTCTCCAGATGGAAAAGGGAAAGACGGAAACCCAGGGGCTGCCTGAGAGGTGTTTGTTTTCCGGAGCAAGTTTTACAGCTGAGATAATGAAGACCAGGGAGCCACACCTGGGCTGGACTGGGTCATGCAGTTCTGGCTTCTATTTAAACCTTACCCTCTTGTCAGGACTCTGAAGAAGGGCTGTGGCCACATAGAGTACATCTCCCTTTTTTGGGTTTCACTATTAATTTGGCACTTTTAAGTGGCCAAGCCTGGTTTTCTGGGGCACTGTCGGTGACCTTAAGGTCCAGTCACATGTGTGCACCCATCTATTCCTGTATATGTCCTGTTTTTAAAACGATTTATTTATTGTATGTATGAGTGCTCTCTCTGCATGTATGACTTTATGTCAGAAGAGGGAATCAGATCCCAGGAGAGATGGCTGTGAGCCACCATGTGGGTGCTGGGAATTGAACTCAGGACCCCTGGAAGAGCAGCCAGTGCTCTTAACCATGGAGCCATCACTCCAGCCCTGAATGTATCACCCTGTAAGTATGGATGTTCATGCGCACAAAGGCCTGTGTGAAGGGATATCTGCACATGTATGTGGGCATCTGAAGTAGACATTGTTTTTTATCTGCTTAGGAAGACTTGCGTTTGTAGAGAGCACAAAGAAGAGAGCTGCATTTAAAGTTTAGAATAGGAAGGTTTTCTCAAATTAATTTTTTTTTATTAAATAAGAAAAAGAAAGGTACAATGTACATGACCATTAGTCAATCATAAGATACTTAGCATCCCACCTTAATGGACTCATGATCCAATCTAGTTCTCTATACAAGAATTAAAAACAAAACAAAACAAAACAAAAAACCACCTCAAGTATTTGAATAATCTCCTGTAAATTTTTATTAACTGGGTTAGGGGAAGGCTTTTATCGCAGAGCATCCTGAACACATTAGGAAATTACAGACAGGCGTGAGATAAGCGTCAGACAGAACAGATGAAGCAAGCCCCTCAGCCATCTGAGAAACATTAATAACGAAATACCGCAGAGACAAATCTTTGTTAGGGGTACTGGATGCAAAGGGAAAAGTAGAGGTCTTAGTGCCCCTTTGTGTTGCAAAATGAACCTCAACTTAATTTCATTTTACTCTTGGTTTTTCTTTTGAGGTTGGTAATCCATGCCCTTTTTTGTTCCCCAAAACATTGCAATCCCTCTCCAGCCCCTCACTCCCCTTCACCGATAACTTTCAAGGACCCTATTTGAAAACCAACTCTTACCCATTCTTCTTTATACCCCTCACGTTCCATTCTAGAAAGTTAACAGGTGCCCAGCCTGCCCAGAGCCCTCTTCCCTCCAAGTGTGAACTGAAACAAATGGGCCTTCCCTTCCCAGCTCAGGCTCAGGGGGATGAGGCAGCATTTGCTACAAAGCAGAATATTATTCTTCTCATGTTTGCAATTTTTTCCTCTGCAACTTACTGGATGCTGCCATTTTTTCATAACTTAACACAAATGCCTTTATCTACCTCCTCCATCCCACTCCGGGCACTCACCAGCTTCCCTAGATCTACTAGTCAACCTGCTAACCCATTTTTACAGTTATATTGCTAGGAAATACCAGACCAGAGATATAAATAATACACCTCGACCTACAACAACACAGGTTGAAGTTGTAGGCAGAATTTCATTGGCTGGCCAGGAGAAAAACAAATATATACACAGAGTGAGTCTGGATGGGGGATGGATTGGGGGAGGACCCGGTGGGAACCGAGTGATTTGTTTACTTGGATTTTCCAACTGGTCCGATGGATACGGGGTCCGTTTGCACTTGAGCATCCAACATTCGCTTTGGTCCCTGGAGAAAAACATAAAGCAGTCACTATAAAACCGGCAGCAGCAATGAGTACTTACAATATACTTATTCTGAGCCAGGTAATATGCTAAGTAAATATGCCCTGTTCATGGGTAGACGTCCAGCTTTCTGGTTTTGGGAAATCTTAGATACATTATGATTTGATTTCTTTGCCTTTAAGATGAGAATGTACAAACATCTCAGGCAGTTGTTCTGGAGATAAAGTGGGATCACACTGTGACACCCGTAGGGCAGTCCTGGGGTGAGGACTTCCTATTCTAGCTCATTCTAGACACCTCATCTCTTGTCACCATCAAGCAACTCATTCATTCACTGTTTCACAAAATGGTGCTCCGATTTATTCCTCATCACTTGATGTGGGATGTCCTTCTATATGCTGCAAATATGTGTTGCTTTTATTGGTTGATGAATAATGCTGCTTTGGCCTATGGTATGGCAGAATATAGCTAGGTGGGAAATTCAGATGGAGATACAGAGAGACAAGTGGAGTCAGGGAGATGCCATATAGCTGCCGGAGGAGTAAGATGCCAGAGCATTACCGGTAAGTCACAGTGACATGGTGATACATAGATTAATAGAAATGGGCTAATTTAAATGTGAGAGCTTGTTAGTAATATGCCTGAGCCATTGGCCAAACAATTTTAATAGCAAGCCTCAGAGTGGTTATTCAGGAACTGGCGGGCAGGAGAGAAAGTTCCAGCTACATCACTATTTGAAGAGATCTTACTGTCCTTTATCTGTCATCTTCCTCCTCTGTGGATTCTGTTTGCTGCGTCCTCAGGGCCATGCAGGTGCCTAGTTCATGGAGAGTGCACCTTACTACTGTCCTGCTGTGGCAGGTGGATGCATGCAGGCACTGTTATGACTGTACTACTGTACTTTCTGTCAAGTGTAATGTAGACACACTCAAACCAGCCCTTCCTGCATACAGTTCCATGAGCTCAGATTAATACAATGGTCATGTTAGCACCATCTAAATCAAAATACATGCCTCCCTTGTCTCTGCCTATCTTCCAACTAACAGACTCACTTACAGACCCTCATGACATCTGACCTTTCCACATCCTACAGATTTTCTTCATCTAGGATCTTTCTTTTTTGTCTTGTTTTCCAGATAGCATCTCATTGCGTAGTCCAGGCTGTCCTAGAACTCACTATTTAGCCAAAGTTGGCCCTGGTCTCACAGTAATCTTCCTGAGAGTTAGGATCATAGGCTTGCACCATTACTCCTATTTTCTAGGATTTCATATCAAGGAGTAATAGAATCCCTAGGCTTTGAACACGGTTTCTTTCCTGTCACACATGAGTCAAGATTTATACATGCCACATGGATCAGCTCTTTCTTCAGTATAAAGTAGAACTTTACAACACAGAATTGTGAACAGAGCACATAAAGGTGTACAGAGCAGAGTTTGGGACTATAGTATGTTAAATAAAGGGAATAGTGTTATATATAACATAGGAGAGTGTGTATTACATAATATATACACACCATCTGCCGCAAAGTGTAGGACATATTATACAGTATAGTTTTTAGGTGTGTATATGTATGCATGTATGCTCACATGTGTATGGTGCACACATGAAGGCCGTATGAAGACCATACGTGGATGCCAGGCATTTCCCCAATTGCTCACCACTTCTATACCGAGGCAGGGTCTCTCACTTGGACCAACAATACACTGATTTAGTCTAGCTAGTCATCTTCCTCTAGGGATCCTGTCTCTGCTCCCCTTAAGCACTGGGATTACATGTTTGTAGCCATAACCTCTCAGCATTTACGTGGGTCTCGGGGATACCACCTCTGACAATTGTATGGGGTGGTTGGAGCAAATCTGGATCTCCTGGCCACTTTGTCTAAAACCTGCAGTCACAAAACGAATTAATTCTGTTCCCAGAAGTGTCAGTTGCTCCTTCAGTGAAGAAGTGACCCAACCAAGAATTTATATCCCTGGCAGACTAAAGACGAGGAGGCCATCAGCCTGAGGCTGGCTCTAAGTTTTTATGTCCCAAAGTACAGTATGACCGAGTGGCTAAACACACCAAAACCTAAGAGAAGAGTGTGTTCTACGTAGCAAGTAGCTGGGCTTCCTGTCAATCACAAGCTGGGAACATATCATCTCATACCATGCCTACATAAGGTGAACGGTATATCACACCACTCCGATGCTTCTTGTAGCCAATCAGTGATTACTTTACAGCCTGTAAGCTGGTGGCTGGTAGGGCTGAGCTGGGCTCTAGGATCTCCCTGTGGTTCAGAGCTGTGCCTGACCCACCGATGGTCCCTTCCTCAAATACTCCATACTAAAATCCACCAACTTAGGGAAGAGGAGATGTCAGTTAAGGAATTGCTCCCATCAGATTGGGCAGTAGGCAAGTCTGTGGGGGTATTTTCTTGATTGGGAGGGCTCGGCTCACTGTGGGCGTTGCCATCCCCTGAGCAGGTAGTCCTAGGTTGTGTAAAAAAGCAGGCTGAGCCAGCCATGATGAGCAAGCCGGTAAATACACTCCTCCATGGTCTCTGCTTCCGTTCCTGCCTTCAGGTTCCTGCACTCATTTCCCTCCATGATGGACTGTAAACTACACGCTGAAATAAACTTCCCCAAGTTGCTTTTGGTCGTGGTATTTATCACAGCAATAGAAAGAAAACCTAAGATAGAACTGTGGCTGTAACCATGACCTAAACGTTACAATGGGGGAAACTGAGACACTCAGAGGTTGAATGACTCATCCAAGGACATCCAAGGAGGCAGCCAAAGCAGGACTGCACACAAGCTGGGTGGAGTGGCTTCGGAGCACACTCTGATCCCCTGTGTTATTTAGATCTTCCCGTCCATAGCATCCAGCATCCTCATCCTTCCTGCCCCAGCCTCAAGCTTGCCGGCCCAGTGCAGTGCCTGGCACCCAGTAGATGCACAAGAATCTTCTTATTTATTTATCTATTTGCCAGCTTTACAGCCAGCCCCCACTTTGGAGATTAATATCTTATCTCTAGGCTAGGAACCAAGAAAAAAAGACTGCACCCACTCACCAGCCCCTTCAGGAAAACCCCGAGGGACTGTCGCCGCTTCTCGGACCTCTTCGGGGTCTTGTCCCCATTCTGCAGCGAGTTTGCCTCCACCACGGGCTGTTGCACGCACTGCCCGGGTTCTCTGGTTTCCTGTTTGCTGCTCTTCTGCTTGTTGGTCTCTGTCACAGACTTCTTGTCCATCAACTTCTTGTCCTTGGAGGGGTTCTCCTTGCTTTTCTGGGCTATCCCTGCGGGCTCTGGTTCTGGGGGTGAGGGTGTCTTCTCCGCGGAGTTCGATGTCTAATTTCAAAAAAAGCCCTTGTTTAGTGTTTGAAAGATTATTCTAAATAGCAGAGGGGTAAATGTGTCAGATGTTGGAAATGAGTTTGGGCAACATGTGGGTCATCAAGGTCATGCATAGCAGGGGGCATTTATTTATATATTTATTTTTTGTAATACTCCATCACTCATTTATGCTTTCCCTGCAAGCACTCTTTCTCTTTGTCAAATTGCATAAATGACGTTGGCTGAGCCACTTACCTCCCCAGGGCCTCAATTTCCCCACCCGTAAACTGAGGTAGTAATAACAGCTGCCCCATGAAATCTAGGCAAACTAATTCTATGCCTGGATAAGAGCATGTGGTCCAGGTCTGGCCAGTCACGGCCATGTTTGTGGGCACATATAGCTCTGATTGATTCAGGATAGCTGAAAATTGTTCTGATTGGTTCAGGATAGCTGAAGAGAATTCTGATTGCTTTGGGATCACTGAAGACAGCTCTTATTGGTTCAGGATAGCTAAGGACAGAAGCTGATCTGATATTAGAGCTTTACTAGAATAAGCAAGAGGTCTGGATTTACTACACTGGATTTGAAGGTATGAAAATGTAAGCCTCGACCTTTGCGAATTTGTTTCAAGGAAAAAAAAAATGCCTGGATAGGAAGTCAACACAGGAAAAAAACAGAGTTGAGAATATTAGAAAGAAACCAGTATGGGTGTCAGCATCTGTGACCTTGGATCCAGACATTCCTGAAGCCCTTTCAATCATAGGCCAGTGTTGAGGTGTCCTATAATTAGCCCAAGTGACTTATTTCTTGAGGGTTCTCATTTTGAAATTCATAATTACATATGCCTTATATTTTTATATGAAACTGTCCTTTTATTTCATGAAATGGTAGTTTTAAAAAAAACCCTGATGGTTATTTTTAGTTTTGAATCAGCATCTTTCAATAACAAAACGAGACACCCTACATGGTACCTACAATGCAGAGCTGTAAAAATCCCAGTTCTAGAAGATTCTGGCAAAAGTGTAGCTACACAGAAGAACTAAAACAAACAACTCCCACACTAAAACAAACAAACAAACCCCCACACTAAAACAAACAAACAAAAACAAACTCCTGCACTAAGACAAACAAAACTAACAAGCAAAAACCCTAAAATCAAAACCTGGCAGGAAGTTGAAATCTATTTCTCATCATATTGTTTACCTCAATTGGTTACCAGTACAGACAATATATAAGCAGAAAGAGGAAGACCAGACAACCCCAGAGGAATCTTACTCCCCAGCAGTAAGCAAACAGGCCCAATGAGCTCTCTCAGTCACTCGCTGGTCTCAGTAACTCTGGCTTTGGTGCAGGGGAGGCAAAAGGGAGTGGCAGGAGAAATTTGACAAATTCAATGTCACAAGCACCGTCCCATGGGCTAGTGGCTGCTCAGATCCTAGCGGGGAGACATCATGTCTTTACACGGCCAGCACAGGCCTCAAACTTGTCATCCTCCGGCCTCTGCCTCCTCAGTGCTGGTGGTCCCATGTCCAGGTGAGGCGTCTGAGACCTTGACAATGAACTCTTCTGAAATGCAATCGGTATGGGCCTTAAAACAGAAGCTCTGAAAGTCACAGGAAACAACGGAAGTCAAACTACTTCCCCATGGGCCACATGTGACCCCCTCATACAGGTCTCCAAACTCTGGTTCACGAAGGCTGTCATGTACCCAGGCAGGAAGTCCCATGCAGAGGTGCAGTTGACTGAGAATAAAGGCTGGTATTGTGTAGCTGTGAACCCAGAACAGTTCTGAGAAAGAAGTCAAAAGACAAGCCGATAGGCTGCTCTGAGCCTGAGCTCAGGGTGACTGCAGCGTTCCAGGAAGTAGATGTCCCTGAGGTAGCCAATACTCTTCAAATTATTGTGTGGCCACATGTCCCTAGTCCCGTCATTTCCTAGCAGCCAAAGCTGCAGCAAGCAAGTGCTAAGAAAGGAGACGCCCTGAGCGGCACAGGAAGCCCAGAACAGCCATCTCCTCTGGATGGAGGGGACCCAACCCCCATGCTCCTTGGGAGGGTCAGGAACGTGTGATGCTCTGAGCCCCCCCCCCCGAATTTTCACAAATTGTGTGGAAGATGCCAGCGTCTAGCAGTGACTCAAAACCTTACAGCGGACTCAGAGACCTGGCTTGAGTATAGTTCCATCACATCCTTGTGGCATCAAGAGTCCCTTTGTGTCCCCACCTGTGTAGTGTCCCCCGAGGGTCAAATGACCACATCTGGCTCATGTGCAATGCCAAGCACAGGGCAGAGATCATCTTGGGTTTTCTCAGAGGGAGGTGATTCCAGGGCTCATACCGGACAACTTGACGTCCAGGAAAGTCCCCAGCCAGCAGCGATCAGACCAGCTGGTCACTCTGTTAACCTCGCCTGCAGTTCCTCTCTTTAAGAAACGGTGAGGTTCTGATTGCACGGTGCAGATGAGGGGGGCTCTGGGAAATAATGGCGCACGCAGGGTGACACACGAGTGGCCCGCAGCTCGCACTGCCCACCTGCAGGGACTCCCCACCCCCTTCTCCGGAAAAACTCCATCTGGGAACCGAGCTTCCTTCTTCCCACACACACAAGAAGTTTTCTAATCACTAGTGGAAACAGAAGCTTTAGCCTGTATTCTGAATTATGCTGCGGATTCGTGTGATGTGAATATAGACAGGATGGCCACTCCCTACCAACACTTTAATAACATTGTCAAATAGCACCTGCAATAGGCTGGATAGTGCAACCCCATTCATACGTTGAAATGGTGATTCCCTTTTGTGGTTGCATTTGGAGTAAAGTAATAATTCATGTTAAATGAGGCTGTACTATGGGGCTCTGATTCCAAAGGCTTAGCATTATTATAGGAAGAGACACTAGGGGGCATTCTTCTTCCCCGCTCCTATTCCCCTATTCCCCCTGCGAGGCAGAAGGCAGCCATTTGCAAGTAAAGGAGAGAAAACCTCCACCAGAGACTAAACTGTGTCAATACTTTGATTTTAGCCTTTCCAGCAACAGAAATGTGGGAAAAGAAATTTCTGTGGTTTAAGCCACTCAGGGTACTTGGGTGTTTTGTTATGGCAGCCTACACTGATGTAAAACAATTTATGGAGCCCTCTGTGCCAGCAACGTCGTCTCCGAGCTTCCTCAGTAGATTCATTCAGCTGGATGCCCTATCAAGTCTACTTCTCCTACATCCTCCTAGGTGTGGGACCTGAGGCACTCAGAGATCCTGCCAAAACACAGACAGAAAACAAAACAGAAAAAACAAAACAAAACAAAAAAAACCAAAAAGACCTTGGCCAAGCCAGGATTGGATCCAGGCCCTTTGAGTCTAAAATCCAGGCTTTTGAGCACTTCTCCGTATTATTAAAATTAATACAAGAGTATTTGATATTTTTATAGAGATTTCTATTTAAATTAAAAGAAGTGCCAGATCATAAACTAGGAGGTCATTAGATGATGTTGAACACCTAGTTTTCTCTGCTGGGACAGCAGGCACGAGCTACCAGGCCTGGTCTCCCACAGTGCTGGGATGGAATCCAGAGCTTTGTGTATGTCAGGCAAGCTTTCTACTAAGCGAGCCACACCCCCAGCCCAAGGATCCCGTTTTAAAAGAGAGAACCCATGCAGATATAAAGTATTCTGTTAAGAATAAAGCAACCAAATAAACGAGCACCATTTGTGTGTTCTCGGACAGTTCCCACTGTGTGCCAGGCACCACACACGGGGATAGGAAACGGAAGCACCTGCTTACTCCACAGTGCCCCAGACATGGGTGGGAAGAACCAGGAGAGGCAGGCGGGAGAAGCATGATGGCGGTGACGGCGAAGGGCATAGGCTCTCTTTGAGGAGGTGGCATTTCTGCTAAAACTTGAAGGCTGGGAAGGAGTTTTCCACACAGAGAGAGAAGAGGAGGTTCGACCACAGCTGAAGACCTGTTTATACCATGCCTGCAGAGCCCAACAGTGTTGTCTATACAGTAGGTGCTTATTCAAGAAATGTTTCACAAATGACTGAGAATCGCATTCAACACGAGTCTGGAGAGGTGAGGAGGCACCGCTAAACCCACCACCAGAGTGAGGTCAAGGTCACTTACTTGGCAAGTGGAGTCTTTCCCATTACTTTCTTCTGAGCGGGTGGTCCCTCCATCCCCTTTCACTGACTACAATAACAAACAGACAGTGGCCTTTGAGTAACGGAAACGCAGCAACAACGGACAAACGCATGCCCTTCCAAAACCCACGACCCCCGCCGACGCTTATTCTTGAGATTTAGGATCAAGGCACCAGAAGAGCCACGAGGAAGGGATCACTCACAGAGGTGTGGACCTTTGTGTCATCGGAGTCCTATGGAATTCAAGTGTTAGCTCCCCCAAAGGAGTCCCGGGTCCCTGGGAGTATGTAATTCTGGGATGAACAGATGATGAGGAAAGAAACAGCGATGAGGCTGACTCTGGTGGGAACACCTGCCATTGCAGCGTGTGGTCCTCTGGACATAAGGGCCACCACGGCCATGGAGCAGCTGTGACTGCTACAAGAGACCCTCTAACATCAGGCCTGTTGACTGTCCCTCAGAGAAGGGAGGGGGTGGCATTAGACCCAGACCTGAGACTCCACACAGCCACTCTTTCCTAGCCTCCCTTCCCAGCTGTATGTGATTCTGTTTGTGGTCTCAGGGTGTAGCAGGCTAATTGGCGAGAAGGGTGTGGCTCCATTAGCTAGCTCTAGCTAGCTATGGGGAAGTCATTATCCTTGCTGGAGTGAGACCTTCCAGTGCTGTGGTTGCTTTGGGGTCACGGAAGCTCCTATAAGTCACCCCTCACCCATGCTGCGGAAGCAAGCCCAATAAACTCAGTGGAGTGGGTATTTTGCTCAGTCACTGGCCCCCTATCTGGGGTAAATAGACATTTGTTCCTGTCTCCTTAGGAAAATACATGTAATCCCAGCACGTGTGGGCGGAGGCAGCAGGACCCCAAGATAGCCTGGGCTAAATGAGATCGTTTTTCAGAAGGGGAAGGAGAGGAGAAAGACAGCGTTGGAAGGAGGAGGTGATTAAACATGGATGAATGAAAGAATGCACCATTGGCCATTGGAGCCTTCCATTGGTACCACCTGGCTGCTAACTCTGCTATTTTCACCCAGTGGAGCTTCGAGTTGGTGAGCATTCCATTCTCCATCCTTTAGCGCCCCCTAGAGCCAGTGGCTTCCTTGACAGGCTGCATCGGGTTGACTGCATCTTGGATTCAGTCAACCAGGTGAATGGAGCTAGTGGTTCCAAATGTGTGGCTACAGGCTCAGAGGCATCAGACTCACCTGGGGACTTGTTAGAGCGATGTAAATTCTTCACACCCGCTTAGACGCAGATCCGCTGAATCAAACTCTGGGGGCTAGGGCTCAGCCACCTGTGTTTAACAAGCCCCTCAGGGGGTTCTGAGCACATTAATGCTTGAACTGGCCCTGGTCACACTCAGACTCACCCTGAGCTCTGTGGTTTAACTGTGCAAACAGGGATGCTCAGTGCTCGACACAATCAAATACCCACGCAATACGAGGATGAGCGAGCGTTCAGGTCTCATCAACAACACCAGCTCAGGTCGAGTCTCTGAATAGCTAGTTATTACTTGGCATCTTCTCTCCCGGCTGTGCAGGAGTGGGGCGGGAGCAGGATGGGCTGAAGACTCCCATGAGACTCCCACCTGCACTGTTATCAGCAGATAGCTGGCACTCACAATGCACAGCCAAGAACAGTTAATCCTGAGAACATTAGAGCAGGCAGGGGGCTGGCTCGGCACCTTCTGTGAAAGCGGCAGGTGTGAGGATAGAGGTTAGACCCCGGGAAGCTGGGCGGGCATGGTGACCACTTGTAATCCCAGTGCCCGGGGGGGAAGACATAGGGTTCCTGGAGCACGGGGCTCTATCTGAGAGCACTTGGCTCAACTCAGAGACGGTGCCCTAACATAAGGAGAACTCCCAACAGCAGCCTCAGGCACACATGCAGGTTTAGACCCCCTCACATGTGTACCCCTGAACCGGCAAACGTGCATATAAACACACATACCATGCACGCATGAAGAAAGAAAACCATACAGGCACTCATGCATTTGGACTGGCTACTGTTACCACTTCTGTGGTCTGAGATATGGTGCTCAAGGTATTGGAGATAAGCTAGGCCCAGTCTCTCTTTCTCTCTGTCTCCCCCTGCTGTCTGTGGGTCGGAATGTAACTCTCAGCCATTTTTCCAGCATCACGCCTGCCTGCCTGCCTGCCACCATGCTCTCCACTGTGGTGGTGTGGGCTGACCTTCTAAAACTGTGAGCAAGCCCCCGATTTAAATCGTCCTTTAAGAGAGTCACCGTGGTTATGGTGTCTCTTCACAACGATTTAAATCATCCTTTAAGAGAGTCACCGTCTCTTCACAACAACAGAACTGTGACTAAGACAGCCACTGTTCCTGGCTTCCACGTACTCTTCTCAGAGAGCTCAGTATTGTGGATTCACCAAGGATCATCAGTGTGGTCCTCGGCATGGAACGCAGACCCCAGGTCATGAAGAGCGGCTCTTCCTTCCTCTGGGTCTCCTGTGCTGTTCTAAGAGGCTCAACCTGGCCTGAGAGCACTGAGGATGGGGAATTGACTCCTTTGATTATTGTGCCCAGCCCTCCTGTCGTCTGCTGTATCGACACTCTGGGATGTCACTCAGCCCTCTGGGTTCAGCAGAAAGAACTTCTACTGACTCACCTCCAGAGTGGCCTTCAGGACATGGCTCTGTTCACAGCAGTTAGCCCTGGGTGTGTGTGTGTTTGTCTGTGTGGGTGAGTGGGGAGGTGTTCTTGTGTGCCAGTGTGCGTGAGGAGGCCACAGGTCAACACTGAGCGACATCCCCCTGGAAGCATCCACCTGTTGTTTATGAAGCAGAGTCTCCCACTGAACCTGGAACTCACCAATTTAGCTAGGCTGGCTGATACCAGGGAACCCAGTGAGCTACCAGTTTCTGCTTCCCATGCTGGGATGACAAGCAAGTGCTATCATACCTGGCCTTTTAAATGTGGGTTCTGGGGAAAGTAGGTCCTCACACTTGGAAATCAAACAGGTTACCAAGTGAGCCCTCCCAGGGAAATGTTGGGTTGCAAAATACGGACACACGTGTGGTGGCCTGAGTGAGGATGGTCCCCAGAGACTGGCGTTTGAGCACGTGGTCCCCTGTTAGTGACACTGTTTGGGGAGACTTCTGAAGTGTGAGCTTGTCACTGGAGGCGGGCTTTGAGAGGTTAAAGACCTTCACTACTGTTATTTCTCTGTACTTCCTCCTTTCTGTTCAAGGCCTAACTCTCAGCTCCCAGCCCCAACCGCCATAGGACCTCTTTTATAAGTTGCTTTGGGCATGATGTTTTATCACAGCAGTAGAAAAATAACCACTATAGCATGCATGCACGAAAAACTTTTAATAAAAAAACAAAACAACAACACGAACAATGGTCCTCCCCCAACTTCTTGACCAAAGAACTTTGGTATTCTGAGAGAGTGCTGCTGAGTTTGACTGTCTTGAAGTTGGTGTTCAAACTTTTCCAGGTCAGGGGTCGGATATGCTTTCTATGCCTCTGTCTCTTTGGTAGTTTTGGAGAACTGGGTCAGATCAGTACCGTGCTGTGTTGGCAGTGTGAGAGCAGACCTCCAGGACCGAGGGAAGACCGCTGCCAATCCCATTCTTCTTAGGAAAAATGAGACAGTCTCTCACGCCTTCCGATGGCCTTCCTCTGTTCATTTCTGACACAAGAAGCTGTGTGTATTCCAAGCTAACTGACTTCTGGTGTCAGACGAACGTGTCATTAAGTTCATCCGAGGCCATTTCCTTAATCAGCCCTATCATGTATAAGGGCGCCTCCTACCTGCCCTCCCTCAGAACTTAACTCCCCCACAGAGCCAGCCCTCATCAGTGACAACTCAGATAATCAGTGTTGGGCTTGGCCATCCAAACAACCATAACCACGGAGGTTTTATTTTCTCCAGTTGTCAAAAATAATGACCTTACGGTTTGAGGATACTTAAATTCTTTCAGAAACGATTCAGTGTCATGTAGAAAAGTTTAGAGGGTCGGCAGAAGTTTCTCAGATTTTCCTCCTCTCTGCCAAGGAACTTGTTTCACCCGTGCGTGGTGAAAATGGTTCAGGACTCCAGTTTGCCGTTAGGAGACAGAATCGCACTGTGGTGTCTGAGCCTTGCATGATAATGGTGCCAGTTTTTACTGCTTACACGATGTCAAGTGTTTTGATGACTTGATCCTCTGAGGAATATTGGAGCCGTTTCCAATATGGTCCACTTAGGTGGCCAACATTAGGGAAGAAACATTTGGTGGACGGTTCACGTTTTGTTTGGAAAGGAAGACAAATGTCAACCCTGACAGGTAAAAGAGGAGGAATGGGTGTGGTGGCTTAAACCTTTAATCCAGCACCGGGGAGGCAAAGTTGTGGTGGATGTGTTGGTGTTCTCTAGAGTAACGAGACTATGGGATGCATCTCTCTCTCTCTTATTGGAATGACTTATAGGCTGCAGCTCAGCTAATCCAACAAAGGCTGACTGGGAACAGAAAATCCAAGAATCTAGTAGTTTCTTAGTCCACAAGCCTGCATGGATGTCTCAGCTGGTCTTCAGTATACACCGGAGTCCCAAGAAGTAAGCTCCAGTGCCAGTGAAGGAATGGACTGGCTAGCAAGGTGAGGGCTAGCGGACAGAGCAAAAGCTCCCTTCTTCCATGTCCTTATGTAGACTCCCAGCAGAAGGTGTGTGTGTGTGTGGCCCACATTAAATTGTGCCTTCCCACCTCCAGGTCCAAATCAAAGCTGTAAATCTTTCCACCTCAAAGGCCGGGATTACAAGTGGATGCACCCAAGCAAAAATAATCTCTCATAGGTGTGTCCTCCATCTCTGGATCACAGTTTATTCCAGATGTAGACAAGCTGACAACCAAGAACAGCCATCATAGTGGATCTCTGTGAGTTCAAGGCCAGGCTGATCTACGTAGTGATCAGGGCTACATGGAGAGATCCTATCTCAACAAACAAACAAACAAACAAAACACCACCTCCGAGGCAAAGAAGCAGGGTGACTTTTTATTTGTTTGTTTATTTATTGGATACAGGGTCTCACATAGTCCAGGTTGGCCTGGA